TAGTGCCAACTGTTGGCATCGGAGGCCGGCGAGGTGTGTTACAGTAAAAGGGCGTCGTGGACACCGAGACTCCAAAATCCGTCGCACGGTGCTGTGGACGGCACGCGGCGCTCCACACGGACAAGCGAACCCGAAAGGCTAGCATGTCCGCTGGTCCATGCAGGCCGTCCGTACTTTCCTTTTCGGGAGGCGCCCCTCTCAGGTTCCCTAATGCTGCAAGCATGGCCGTTTCCAAAACCCTGCCAGAAATAGGCCGTGTGGTCGCGTCAAAACGTGCCAATTCCTTTCGACCGATGTTGGCCACAAACCGGCGGCCGAGTACCTTTTCCAGCCGCTGGCCAGCCGCCGGCCTGTGGGGTCCAAGCCTAAGAGAACCTGCGCCTGGCCAATTTTGGAGAAGCGGTCCCGGCCACCCTCGATGTTCCGGCCTACGGCCCAACTTGGTGACCCTCTTCTGAGCCAGTAGGGCATCATCTTTGGGTTGCTCTTCCCTATTTTATCTGGATTTGGCCTGTGCATGCCCTCACGTGAATTGCCAAAATAGCAATACCCTCCCCTTCATGGTCCGCCACCCCCCTGCCGACCCCTCTCCCGTTCCGACCGGTCCCACATAAATACGCAGAAATGTCCAAAACAGGGACGGCGCCCACCAAGACTCCCCAACGTGCCACTTCCACACCCTGTATCTTTTGCTTTCTCCTTTTTTCCACCTTCCCCGCTACCACTGACTTCGGCACACCGACCGGTCGCTCCCCAACGATGTTGGATGTCAACGACACGAAACGGCAAATGAGGTAACTACAACACTACCCCCGAATACAACGTACGGTCATTATAGCTGTAGTACATTTGAGGCATATTTCAGTCTAGTTAGATAGATATACAGCTATAATGACCGTACGTTGTATTCGGGGGAGAAGGGAACGCTTCCCTCGAACGGCCTGCGATATGTGAACCCCCGTAGGAAGGGGGAGACCATGTGATTGACTACAAGGCAGGGCTTTTTCCATTCCATAGGGCGAGCGGACGGGTACGAAATTTACGAAATTTACGAAATTTACGAAATTTACGAAATTTACGAAATTTATAGCGGGCGAAGTGTTTGAGAAGGGTTTTGTGAGTTCGCCGTCGTGTTGTCGAAGCGTTTTCAGGAACCGTGTTGCCGTCGCGTTTTGTTTTTGACAGGCGGTGAGTGCAGACATGCAAACGTCTTCTCTTCGCCTTCACTCGTACGTTCACCTTCAGCTTCATATAATTTTTTATTTTTTATTATTTATCTATTTATTTATTTAGAAAAGCTGCCTTCTCCTCATCGGGGGACAGCCATATATTCTGCTCTCACCTCAGATATGTTGTAACTGGCGTTCTGCCATGTCATGGAACACGTCTTTCTTTTCAGAAGCTACCACTACTCCTAAGGCTATACAGGGGACCCCTGCAAGCATAGCTTTCTACCTCTCTTCGGTGAAGGGAGGAGGTTGCCTCTCTCTTGGTGGGGAGAGGTAACGGCATGTTTGCCCCTTTGCCCTAGCGTTTAGGGTGCAGGGTTGGGGTACGTCACTTTTTTTTT